GACCGCGATATGTCCATTCACATAGCATCGTACCTGGCCGTTTACCACTGCTCCTCATGAAATGTACAACATGGTCCGCATCCATTGCAAAATTTTATGGACCCTGTATGATATCTATTTAATGACATAAAAAAATATGGGATTTTTTTTACGCGGAACGCATGCACCTTGCAGAGTGTGATCACTAAGCGCCAATGCAACGAATGATCAGGCCCCAAATTTTTCGGCAATTAGAAAAATTTTTTAAAACCTAATTATACTCCTTCCTTAAGTATAAAATATAAAGAAGACGTGATCATCTACTGATTGACTGAAAGAAAGCATATTTATGTTTATGGTTTCTATAAAGTATATTAGAATTTCCAATACCATCGAAAATCAATGAGAAAAATGCATGCTACTTAAGTAGTCATTTTTTACCAAGCACGCTTTCCACAGGAGATTTAAAAGAAATGCATTTTAAAGCCGACATCCTGCCGAGTCCGAAGTGTCATAACAGTGTGCCACAAGATAAGCAGTATTACAACCGCGACCAAGTAATCCTTCCTAATCGAAAACGCATTTCAGAATTGCAGCCAACATTTCATGAGATAGGTCACGCACTGTAAGTTTGCCGAACGTGACTTCATGGAAGATGCCATGGGTATCATTGCTGAATAACATAAGGTTTATAAGAAATAATAATTGTTTTTGGAAAGCGTAAATGGCAAAATGCATACAGTGGACAGCGGAGCTTAAAGGCCCGTTCGTTAGTAATTTGCGAATTAACTCTTTCATCGATAAGTATAGTATACAATGTGGCGGCAGCTTGACGGTTTGGTATAGATCAGTGTCGTTTAAGTAGAGAAAACGTAACCTTTTCGTGAAAACTTTCTCTTCCGGATTGTGTTTTAGTTTCGGGTTGGGCGAGCTGCAAGAGTCGGAATTAATTGTAGAGCGATCATTGACAAAAGTTGGACATAAGTAACACACACGCGGGTATGAACGCACTGTTTCCTTCAAAAGATTATTGTCGAGACCAGCTAATCTGGCGGCACCCTGGAAATGTCAGTGAACACGCAGTTCGCTCTGATGTTCTCACCCCAGCAGTCTTGTACTGAGAAGACCATTAGTCATTCTACCTCATGAATAACGTTCAGATGGAGTCATCTCACGCTAATGTAGGCTAATGTTCGGATTCCAGGTACAGTAGGTGGGGTAGCTCATGAAATGTCGACAGAAATTCGGAAATGCGCTTCGTTTCGAAAAGATTAATTAAGTAGGGTTGTAAAACTAATCATCGGGCAGCGTAATTCTATAATAATTCGGTTATCACAGAATGGCGGCTTTCGAACGAACCTCTTTTCGGCTGTATGGAAAAACCACACTGTAAAAAAATGACTACTTAAGTAGCATGCGCTTTTCCATTGGGTATCGATGTCCTTAAAAATTCAATCGCATTTCATGGAAAGAACGCTTAAAAGTATTCATTCTTTTATTCATTCGGCAGAAAATTACGTCTTCCTCCAATTTTACACTTGAAGAAAGGGTATAATTAGGTTTTCAAAACTTTTCCAATTCCCGATTAATTTTGAACCCACCTGCGGTTACACTTGCATTTATGGTTTCCAGACTATAAACCATATATTTTCTGCGTTCATTTATCTCTGGCTTCGAACTCGTGCAGGAATCTGTTGCCGGAATAACAATACAGGCGGCAGTTATGTGTCGTGTCTGCCAATCCGTGATGGTGTTGGCGGTAGCTGCCCAGTGCTCAACAAGCCGTAGTCAAGTTAACACATCGACCGACTGAGTTCTCGTCCATGTCGGCAAAAAGACAAGCTGGGAATAACTTCAAGCCTGGACATCGGATGAGAAGTCAGTCAATCAATGTATCGATTTGGTGACGATATAACAGTTAGACCGTCGATTTCGACGATGTCCACAGTGTGCTACACACCAGGGTGCAGCAGTCACGGTGACTTGCGCGTGAATTAGTCCATAGTGATAGTAGACTTGCTCAACATCTGCCGCACTCCCTCCTCCCCATCTCCACTTGAACCCGGTGTCAAAACAGAGTCAAGAAGATCGGAGGGGGGGAGGGAGCAGGCAACTGGCGTGGTCGGGCCCGCACCTAGGCATGCCACCATACTCCCTGGTCCACAACATACAGGAGATGTGCTAACTCATGAAATGCCAACCAAAATTTCGAAAAGCGTTCTCGTTTGGAAAAGATAAATTAAGTAGTGTTGTAAAACTTATCATGATGCAGCATAAATCTATAATGATCCAGTTACCTCAGGGTGTCGGCTTTCGAAAGAAATTATTTTCGGCTGCATGCAACATCTATATTCTCCAAAAAATGACTACTTATGTAGTATGCAATTTTCTCATTGATTTTCGATGCCCCTGAAAATTCAATTATATTTCATGGAAAACATGCATAAAATATTCATTCTTTTACTTATTCGGTAGAAAATCACGTTTTCTTCCAATTTCTTACTCAAAAAAGAATATGATTTGGTTTTAAAAAAACTTTTCTAATTCCCGAATAATTGTGAACCCGACCTGCTGTTACACTTGCATTTAGGGTTTCAAAACTACAAGCTGTATATTTTCCGTGTACGGAAAACCATGCATTTCTCTACGGTGTTAAGAGGAGACCATATGAGGTTAATAAAATTAAGCAGTGGATTTGAGCAATATTGTTAACTTTACAAGCCACATTCGTAAATGCCGATACATGACGTTTCATGAACGGCCATTTAACGCTATTAAAAATCTCATAATTAGAAACTTATTTAAAACCGAGTAGTACTCTCCTTTTGAGTATGAAATAAGAAGAAGACGTGATTTTCTACCGAATAAGTAAAAGAAAGAATATTTAATGCATGTTTTCCATGAAATGTAATTGAATTTTCAAGTTCATCGAAAATCAATGGGAAAATTGAATACTACATAAGCAGTCATTATTGCAGAATATAGATCTTGCATGCAGTCGAAATTAAGTTCTTTCGAAAGCCGACACCCTGAGGTAACTGGATCATTATAGATTTATGCTGCATCATGATTAGTTATACAATACTACTTAATTTATCTTTTCGAAACGAGAACGCTTTTCGAAATTTTGGTTGACATTTCATGAGTTAGCACATCTACTGTACACTTGACCAGGATTTTTCACCAACAACAACAACACCTCAACAGGGGTCAGGAGGAGGAGGACGATTAGGCAGCCATGCCCACCACCCAGCGGGAGCGCAAGCGCATCTACCGACAGGGACATATAGAAGCGTAGACAGCCACCTTCAAGCCTGCGTCACTGATCGTTAAGTAGCAGACGTCTCCTATAAATGTCGCCTGTTATATTGCTGATTTTATCTCTGGCGATCAACTCCTGCACGAGTCCGAATGTCTAGACAAATGAACGAACTGTTTTGGGGCTTGACCAGTCTTCTTCCTTAATGGGCGATATTTCAGGGTAAGATTTTGCTGCAAGTTCACCAACGATTTTCATGCACTTATAAAAAATTCCTTCGCACGCGCACAAACAGTCGTCCTGTTTACGTAGGGACTGTTTTCGTCATCTCTACTTAATGCGCCGTCATATTCGGCCGTCATAAGCACGCAACGGCGTGACTCTAAGCAAGCTGAAATATCCTTTAAACTACTCATATCGGAGGTTCTTTTTTATTCACAAACAGCACATAAGCTGATAATAAACCACCTAAAGGTCATAATTAGATCTACTGGAAAACCACAGTCAGTTCTAGAACAATGGTAGGAGGAGCTTACCGATAGTTCTTACGGAACTCACTCGTTCCGTTGTGCTTTACGGGCTCTTCCTCGAGCGCGACCAGCAGCCGCACATCGGCGCATGATATATAGGCAGAATGATATTGCCGACAAAGACACGGGCGACTGGAATGGTCATTTTTAGCTTATTAGCCGTCGTCAGCCAGCCATACCCAACCTCGAAGTGTGCAACACCCGAGGCTCGAACTCGCGACCTGTTAGTTAGAAGTCCAGGCCTCTAACCACTGGGCCACGAGCCCGCTGCCCTGTCGGTTTTTGATCGGGAATATATAATGGAAGGGGGCGCTCACCGTTCACTCGTTCCGTTGTGCCTAATGGTCATAACTAGATCTACTGCAAAACCTCAGTTCACAGTTAGATCTAGAACAGTCGGTTGTGAACATGAATTACCATTGTGGTAAAAATAAACCGTCCGCTGTTTTAGGACAAAAATTGCATTGAATTATAAAGGACAGTTTTTCGGAGTGGCAAAGAGCAGTTGTTTTGTGCCTTGGGCCTTAATCCTGAACCTCTCCAGCAGCCGCTCAGCGGAATGATATTAACGCGGCCACTTCTGGCCTGTTGGCCGCTATCAGCCAGTTGTACTCAACTGCAGGCTTCACAACCCCTGAGGCTCGAGCAGGCGCGTTTTCAAGCCGTACGAGATGCAAGACCCGGTGTTCGGTATGGCTGGCTGGTGGTGACTACTAAGACAGAAATGGCCATTTCATAAGTAAAGAAGAAGTGTCGAACACCGGAACACTTTATTTATTGTCCTGAGCTTTCAAACTCGTACAGGAGTCCATCGTCAGAGGTAGTAGCAGCGACAGTGTTATGACCCGCCTGGTACTTGAAATCCTGAGGAGCGTATGCGCACTCGACCCTTGTCCCCAATACCAACGCGGCAGAGAAGGAGAACGCGACCGGCCACGAAAATGTGTATTAGGAAATTGCAAGTCAAAATTAATTGGAAGCAACGCACATTTATAACGCCCTACTGTGCTTCGCCGGGGTTCGGTCCAATGCCCTTCGGAAAGAACATTCGAGACGAGCCGGTCGATAATTCGAATATGCTGATCGATCAGGCCCGAGAGGAAAAGCCAATGGAGAGGTGCCACGATAAAGATGACAGCGCAGTAGAGAAAACGCACGTGGCCTCCCGTGATTGGCTGGCTCTTGTTTTTGGGAGGGTAGGCACTACCAACACCTCCCCTCCAAGTAGATCACTACCGCTTCTGGCGTGGGTTGACCTGCATCAGCCGTGTTGATCGGCGCACGCGGTTGGTCCGGCGTCTTAGTCGTGGTTTAATGCCTGGAGATACAGGAGCGGTAACTGATACCGAAGGTGGTATATCCGAAGGGGGCGCAGCTGTGGGTTCGGGAACCGACTGATCTGCCGGAATGGCGAAGGTATCCAGTAGGATGTCAAGGGAGAGTGACGGCGCTGACTCGAGTCCAGTTGTGTTACTGCAGTGTCGCCGTCGGATCTGGTTGTGGTGGCGAACCCAGATGTCATCACTAACGTCGACGTCAAACAACATATTGCCTCTGGGCGCTACTACGGTGGCTTCAATCCAGTCTGGGAACCCCGCTCGATAATCACGAATGAAGACAGGTGTTGCAATGGAGAGCATGCTGCGAGAGACTGGAGAAGTCTGCGCGGGCTGCGCGTTTTCCTTCTCTGCCGCGTTGGTATTGGGGACAAGGGTCGAGTGCGCATACGCTCCACAGGATTTCAAGTACCAGGCAGGTCATAACAGACAGAACAAGCGACAGTTGTAAGGCATGTAGGTCAATCATCGACCGACGGTGCAAGACTGGAGGTGACTACGCAGGGCTCTGTACGCCGGCTCTAGATCGACAAATAGATTGTCCGAGTTCTCATTCGAGACCCAGGCTTCAATCAACGCCAGCGACGATATGACCTTTCCTGCCATACATCAAGGGCGTTTCAGAAGCAACCGAGCGCATTCCTGCGGAGCTAGGTTTTGGAATTGCACACCGCCCCAAAGCCACAATGCGCAGTAGGGTCATGAAAATTAAATACCGTTTCAAGCCTGACACGTAATCTGGAGAAGTGTATGGCATTCCGTGTCAAATTTGTTCTTGTAACTACACAGGACAGACTGGGCGCATGCTCGGATCGCGCATACACGAACATAAGCTGACTGTGCGACGAGGCGACGCATTATCACAAGTGGCCACCCACACCTACGAAATGGGTCATGAATTTAACTTCGCAACCACCAAAATAGTCGTCCACGCCGAAAAAAACAGGCCGAGAATTGATTGAAGTCTGGGCCTCGGATGAGATCTCGGTCAATCGATTTGTCAATCTAGCGCCGGCGTACAGAGCCCTGCGTAGTCACCTCCAGTCTTGCTCCGTCGGTCGATGATTGACCTACATGCCTTATAACTGTCGCTTGTCCTGTCGCTGCTACAACCTCTGACGATGGACTCTTGTACGGGTCTGAAAGCTCAGGACAATAAGCAAAGTGTTTCGGTGCTCGACTCTTCTTCTTCTTATTCACATATGCATACACCTGGAACATAAATATCGTTTTGACTGTGCAACCGTATCCGCGCATTGCGTGCGTGGATGATGGGAACATTTAGACATCATTGAAATGAAGTCCGTGTTAACAAGTAGTTAGACGCTGAAGATATCAAAAAACTCGATGGCTTTGGTGATCGCGAAAGATATTAGGACTTCTATCAAAATGGTCTTTTATGCTTACGTAATGTCCTAGTTCCCTGTCTTCCTCCAGGTAGACCTGCATACTTACAGGGTTGGTCGGTGCAGGAAAAACGGAAAACAAGAGTTGACTGCTTTCTTGGTCTAATAAGTCCCAGGTGTGCATGAGCTGGTTGCGAATGATGACCACCGGATGTTACTCGACACTCATATTTTGACTTCAGACGGTGAGCTCTACGACCTGAGAGATGCCCTTGATGCAGGTCAGTGCAAGCAACATCCGTTCTCCTGTTGCATACCTCTCATTCAGGCGAGGGCGTAAACACTCGTTAATCTTTGCCGCCGGAGCCTGGCAGTGTGTGCGTATTCCCTAGAACAGTGTTTACGCATATTTTAGGGTAAGGTGATACCATACTAACAATCCAGGTACTAGCCAAAAGCCCATACACGCGTGTTTCGCCGATGTTTTGCCGCTGCATGGCGCAGCTGCGAGGGGTTCGGCTCGTCAGTGGGTCCCCCAGCATTCCCCGTGTGTTTACGCATATTTTCTCGTCCACTGACGGGTTGTGGTTATAAAAAGCTAGGGTCTGTGCTAGACCTGCGGCCTTTATATAAACGATCGTTACATGAATCTTTTCCAGCAGTCATTAGTCTCTATATATTGGTTACAGTTTTCAGCTGGAGAAATTTGCGTCTGATATGCCACTGCGATTTGGTTGGTTGCTTCGTAATTAGAATGTTTTGCTTCGCCGAACTTTAAAGATGAACACTTGGACGGGCTTGAAGAGTTTATTATTACAAATGTTGGGACCATGATTTTTATCAGAATAAATGCCTGGGATGCGCATTCGTTCGGGTAACTGCGGCCTCCGTCCGCGATAGCGATGACTCAGCCAACTTCGAGTACATGGCTGGGTAAATGATGATTGAGCAAGCCGTATGGCGTTTCTCGTAGCTTCATGACTGTCACGATTAAATCTCCTCGTGCTGGTCTCGAGTGGATTTGAAATACTTCTCCCAGAACTTGCAGTAAACAGATTATTGCTGGGTGAGTCGGTTCTATTGCGTATCTTGCATGACAAATGAATTCATACAAACGTTACACTCATAAGAATTGTACGTGGACATAAGAATTGCAGTTTGCACTGCCGTCTAACCGAGTGGGAGATTTTTTAAATACAAAAACGGAAGATGAGTGGCTTTCGGCATACGTGGTAGAAACTTCAGCGACACGTTGAAGACTTCAAGAAGATAGAGTTGATGGCCTATCAGAAGAAAGGCCACAAGCGTCGCGCGGACCACACGGCCCGCTTCCACGAAAGATGTACTGCCTCACAGAATCGAGTGTTTTTCAAAAGAAGGCGTGCTGTGGTCTATTAAGCAATGCTTTTTAGACAGGCAATAATTTACGTTATTGGAGAACATCAAATCAAAAATTGATTTTATGACGGATCAATGATCCAACACGTAATATAACTGACAGCAGAGAGGGATAGTATGAGTACACGAGAAAATAATGAAACATAATAACAAATAGAAAGTAGTAACGCTTTGCCGATTACCGCCTTGCGCGTAAAACGGCTGTTTGTCTGGAGGACATAGGAACTGTCAAGTTGTTTTTAGTGGACTGGCTTATAAAATTACTAAACTTTTCCTGTCTTGAGCAATGCTTTTTGTGCCTTGTCCGAACTTTTTCTGATCAGTACAAAGCGATTTTTGGTTGCACTGAGGTCCGGACTGTTAGCAGAAATAAAAATGCTTCATAGGCTTTAAACGGGAGGACTGACTTTAGTCTGAAAAGATAGACTATATTCGTGCGGTAAATCAGAATTATACCTCCTTCGAAGGGTGAAGAGGATCATCATGCTGCGACGTCGGTGACTGCCGTTGTGACCGAGGACATCCTTCACGGTGTCCGTTCATGAACACGCCTTCCCTTCTTTTGTTCTGCGGGGATGATGAACACGAAAAGATAACCGGACTTCGAATCTCCAAGGGCATATGGTCCGTGGCCTATAATAAGAAAGTTTACGAGCTTCGGACAAAAACCCCTGTAACGTACGGGCCGCTCATCCCGCCTCCCCGAAAGTTGTACTACGTTAAAAACGACCAATCAACAACAGTAGACATAGAATAGTTTATCAATTATTATTTCCTGGATATGAAATAACTGGTTAAATCGAAGAGTAACAAATTAAAAAACAACTTTGTGACAGGCTAACCAATCAAGGCCGAATACAATTGACAACAGAGAAGGGAAATTTGATACAACGAGAAAATCATGAAAAACAGTAACAAATACAACTTATTAGTACTTTTTTGATTGTCCTTTTGCTTTTGAAATTGCTGCAAGTCGGGAGGACATGGAAACTACTAAGCTGTATATGGTGATTTGGTCTATACACGTACCAAACACAAAATCCAGGTATGCCGTATTGATAGGCTTTTTTGTAATTACGCAGGTCAGGCTGAATGCATACTCAGATAGCGCACACGCAAACATAAGCTGGCTGTGCGACTGGACGAAGATTTATCGCAAGTGGCCGCCCACGCCTTCGAAATGGGTAACGAGTTCAAAATCGCAGCCACTAAGATAACCGTCCGGACAGAAACAAAACATGCCGAGTATTGATCGAACCCAGGGCCTCGGACGAGAACTTAATCGATCGATGTGTCCATTTGGTGCCGGCAGAGGGAGCCCTGTGCAGCCACCTCCACGCCTGGGTCACTGATATCTGATTGGCAAACACCCCCTATAACTGTTGCCTGTTCTGCCTTTGCTTTTGAATCCGACGGCGGACCCCTGCATGAGTTTGGAAGCCCAGACCGATGAATTGTTCAGTTGCTCGATCAGTCTTGCCCTTTCCTACTCATAAAGACACCTGGAATTCAAACATTCTCCTCCAAGTGTTTTCTTGCCTTGTTCCGGTTTCGTTGGAACTAAGGTCAGGACTGTTGGCAGGAATAAAAGTGTTTCGCGGGTCGCAGACGGAGAGGCTGGTTGCGGTCTAAAAAAACCAGACTGTATTTGTAAGCGAAATCAATGTCATACCTCTCATGAGGTTTGGACGGGGACATTACTCCGCAGCATTACAATGCTGTTTGACGTCGGTGAATGCTGTTGTAGCTGAGGGCATCCTTTACGATGCTGACGGACACCTTGCTATTAACGGTCTCCGCGGTCGACCGCCAGACTGATCGCTCTCCGAATTTGATGGCCATCTAAACCATCAGGCGTCGAAAGTTCTTGAAATTTGTTGTCGATACAGTGTATCACACATGCGGGCCGACTTTGAAGGCTTCCCTAAAAAGATCTCATCCAAAAAGGAAGTTCTCTCCAAGAATAAGTGTACAATCGATACAGTGTTGCGCAAACAAAATAATCATTTTTCTTCCGCAGACATAGCGTCTTGCGCCGAAAACCAAAGTCATTCATCCTTTTTCGCATTATTCGTTGGGCAAACCCTAATAAATGTTCTGGCAAGATGTGGTTATGTAGCCGCATCTGATAGACAAAATACTGTCGACCAACTTAATTATTGAGTAGAGGTGATTTCGTTGGCATGGTGTTGCTACGCGTTGCGGTGTGTGTTCTGCTTCTTTGTTGCCTCGTCTACCTTCTTCTGCCCAATGCCACTGCTCCTTCTTGACTTTCGGCCTGTCGTCTACTTATAACTTTCGCGTTGGATGTTTCAGAGTTCGGATTTAGGGCTGCGACTTAGAGTTAGGGTCAGAGAGTTAGGGCTTAGTGTCGGGGGTTAAGGTTAGGATTAAATCTAGGGGTTAGGGATAGGGGCTAGGGGCTAGGGTCTGGAACTAGAGCAATTATTTCTCAATCACTCAAAGTAAAACAACGCATTCTCAGTAGCTTTTCCTTTGCACACGATTACTTGACCTCGTCGCCTGTGCGGTCACCGATCCATCATGTAAAAACCCCTA